AAACTGTATTAGCAGAAACTAACAATGGTCTGTTTGTTTCCTAGCTAGGGCCAGTCTATGGGCAAAATATGAGCAAAATCGATTTTTTGACTTGTGCCGGTGTTTAGTCTATGTTTATAGGCAGTGGCTCTTAATACAGCCTTGGACGTCGCGCAAGATTATTTTACTAATCTCGGATTTTTATCTCATTTTGATCACTTTGCAGTGTTATAGCTTTTTGTAGTTTTGTCTGAGAAGACGCTCTCACGAGATATTTAGACCACAAAAATCGCAAAAAACCGTTCCTTGATTAGATTTTGAAAATCATGTCTGCATAAACTGTCGAGAGAATGGATTAAAAAGAATCCAACTGGAACGTGCTTTAAGTAAAATTTAAACTTAAGGTAAACAGGTGATATATTTAAATACGTAATCTTTGATTTGGATCTGCGTTGAAGCAAACAGCCAATATGCCTTTTCTTTCCGATTAAAGAAGCCAACGAACATTAAATCAATAAAACCTGTGCAAAAACAAAATAGCCATTAGTGTGTACACTCTTACTCTTTTTTATAAGAACATCTTTTAAAGGATATTGAGGCTGAAATTAGCGACATTTTAGGAATATTTTAATGAAGAATAAACCCGTTCCTGAGACTTTGAAAAGAATATAGTTTAGTGCCTAAAATTTATAAATACAATACAATTATATGTTTTTAACTAAACCTAATGAAATTTTTCCTTTTTTTAAACAGAAAAACTAGCTAAAAAACAACAAAAACAGCACTAGCCGTATGTTCGATACTTATAACATATCTGCAAGAAGTTAGTTTTTGCGAACATACCTGATACGCACGTCATACCTTTTGACACCAAAACTATTTCGAAAGCAGAAATGTCATGCGCTATAATCTCAGAATATTCACTGGAATATTTTCGGCCTACAATCGGCAGAAAAATAAGAATATTCAGCCTCGGCCGGAAAAACAATATTCGTACATAAAAACAGTGTATTCAGAGAAACGCATATCATGCTCGACTCCCTAATTGGTTCTTTAGTTAGAAGGCATTTTGTTGTTTTTGTTTTCTGATGGGATGGTCGCAAATTTTCTTCAAGTCACATTGCTTTGTCATTTATGATTGTAATCTTCCCTTGAGTACAATTAAGTCAAACGACGAGACAATGGACAATTTTCGATATATTAAAATTCAGCCTGGTAGCGAGGCCTAGAGGACACAAACAAAGAAACTTGAATGACCATGTTTATTCATTCCTTTTGCTTGTGTCCTCAAGGTCTCAATATCAAGCGTAATTTTTAATATATCGAAAGTGGCCTTTCGACATTTGCATTTTCAATTTAAAGTTAATTTTTAAGATCTGGTCATATCAACGTATTTTTAAAATGCTATGAATAAAACCTAACAATTCGTGAAATAATAATTATTAGTAATAAGAATTTATTTCTTATATAGCGCTATTTATAAGAAGAGTAACTTCACATTTTTCAATTAAAAGACAGATGGTAAAATAAAACCTTCAAAACTTGCTGAGTCAAGGTGAACATATGGTATATTTAGATATATCATTTTGTATTCTGGATTTGCGATAAAACAAATTGCCAACAGGCCTTTTCTTTCTGAGGAAGGAAGTCTACGAAAATGAAATCAACAAAACCTTTGCAAAAAGCAAAATGGCATATCGCACATCGGCCTCGACTCCTTAATGGTTCTTTTGTTAGAGGTGTTTTGGTGTTTTTTGATTCTGATGGGATTGTTGCAAAATGCCTTGAGCTCATTTTCCTTTGTCATTTACGATTGTAATCTTTCCTTTCTTCAGTCATGATAAAAGATTCCCCAAACACTCTTTTAAGACCTTGTTATATTCAAACTAATTTTTAAAATGCTATAAAAAAACCTTTACAAAGTAATTTGTTTGATTGAAGAGGAACTTCATCTTTTTCAAGTAAATGACGGGTCATTCCTCGATATAGCTTTGGTGTTTTTTGATTCTGATGGGATTGTTGCAAAATGCCTTGAGCTCATTTTCCTTTGTCATTTACGATTGTAATCTTTCCTTTCTTCAGTCATGATAAAAGATTCCCCGAAACACTCTTTTAAGACCTTGTTATTCAAACTAATTTTTAAAATGCTATAAAAAAACCTTTACAAAATAATTTGTTTGAATGAAGAGGAACTTCATCTTTTCCAAGTAAATGACAGGTCATTCCTCGATACAGCTGAAAAACTAAAAAACTTAAATATACGGATTATAGTGTCTTAAATATTGGTCCTTTCTGACCGGGAAAAAAACTTTGGGCGGAAGCGTCAGGGTGACAAAACAAATACCTAATTAATTGCCAAACCTTCTGCAAGCACTTCGCTACCTACAAGTTTGAGGTAGGACAAAATATCTTGTCATTTCGCTTATTGCCTTAAGGTTCATAATCTTCAAGAATCATGGATCAAGGGCTCTACGAGATGATACAAGAAATAACTTGTACATCGTCCCTACATGGAAATCACTATATGTACTCACTAACAGCTTTAAATGTGATGTTGGCCATCACAGCATCTCTTGGAAACGCCCTGATCCTTGTTGCCCTTCGAAAGGATTCCTCGCTTCATCCGCCATCAAAACTCATGTTTCGATGCTTAACAGTTTCGGATCTCTGTGTTGGTCTTTTCTCCCAACCATTTTATGTCATTCAGCTTATGTCGATAACAAACAAGCAAGAAAAACTTTGCTACACCATGGTAAGCATCAACGCATTCACCAGTCAGTTTTTTTGCGGAGTGTCGTTGTTTACATTAACTGCAATAAGTGTAGATAGACTTGTTGCACTGCGTTTAGGATTAAGGTTCACCCAAGTCTGGCAAGTGATAACCTTGAGGAGAACACGAGTGATCATGATCATGATTTGGATTCTAAACATTTCTGTGCTCTGTTTAAAACGATTTTGGATGCCTGATTTAATCTCTAGGGTGATTTATGCATTGATTTACATTTCTCTGGCTATGGCAGCTTTGTCTTACTTCAAGATCTATGTAACGCTTCGTCGTCATCGCGTTCAACTGCGAGCTGTTGCTCAGCAAGGCAAACCAAACAGAGGAGGAATGAGTCCTCTGAACATAAAACGATACAGAAAGACGGTGTCCGTGGGACTGTGTGTACAGTTAGTGTTAATAGCTTGTTACCTTCCTTATGCCATAGCTGTTGCTGTGGCGCATGCCAGAGGCTATTCGCCATCCTATAACCTTGCTGTGAGAATAACAATCTCTCTCGTATTGTTAAACTCATCTCTGAACCCGATTCTCTACTGCTGGAGGGTCAGAGGTGTACGAAAGGCAGTGAAGGACACAATCAAACAGTGGTTTAAGTGCTCTAGGTAGAGAACATGGCTTTCGTAAAACTTTCAGGTGCAGATAATGGTTGCAATACCCTCTGTAGGGTGTCCAGGTTACGGTATTCAAGAAATGGTAAACATATTCTATTCCTTGATCGCATATCTGTACAGCATTGGGTGATATATCTGCATGCATTGCACGAAAATGCGACTGTTTTAAATATCTTCTCAAAAAGTGTAACTCCTAACAACACCAATTATTATTTGATGCATTTTTTCCCTTCCTTTTCATTGGCCGAGAGCCAACCACATGACCTACAAATAACTGCCTACAAATAATGGTCTGCTCATACGTAGTACCTTCTAAATGTTTTTTGCTGCGAATAATATTCTGCTCATATTTTCAAGTGCGTATCATGGTAGCAATGTCCTCTGTATGGTGTCCAGAGGTGCTTACCATTTAGCAAAAAAACCCCCGGAAATTTCGGTTGAAAGTCAAATGGAACAGTGATTTCCCGGAAAATCCGTTCGGGAATTGTAGACTACCTTCAGAGGTAGTCCTCATCTTTCGTTCGGAACGGAACGGCGGAAATTTCCTTACCGTTTGGTAAATTTTCCAGTTTCCAGTCTCTCATCAGCCGAAAACAATTACGAGAAATCGAATTGCAAATGGTAAGCGCCATCTCGTTCGGTTGGTTTGCTGATTTTGAAAAAAACTCTTTCCATTATTCAACGGTCATCCCAACCGGTTTATTCTGACAAATAGTAAGCACCCCAGCTTTCGTTATTTACGAAATGGTAAGCATATCCGATTCTTTGCTGATATTTTGCATGCAGTGCCAGAGGACTGTAGCGCAAGAAAGCGATCGCTTGAGAAGTGATTCTGCTAAAATGAACAAAGAGCTTAGCGGTTTACGTTCCTCCCTCGATGGACAAGCCCAATACACGCGACGCGAATGTCTCGAAATAAGAGGAGTCCCCGTGACAACTGGAGAGGATAAAAACGAAATTGTTAAGAAAAGTGGAGCCTTGATTGAGGTCAATATTAATGATACAGATATTTCGATCAGCCATAGGATTCCTTAATCTAACAGTGGAGAATCAGGGTCTACTCCAATTCGACATCCCGCCATAGTGGTCAAATTTACCAATCGAAGGATTCGGGACCGTTTCTACAAAGCTAGACCAAAGTTGAAAAGCTATCGCGACATTGGCCTGGGGCGCTACCGTGAGCACAATATCTTTATGCAAGAAAACCTAACGGAAGCGAAAAGAAAGTTGTTGAGGAACTGTCTCAAGTTTCGCAAGGAACAGAATTACAAGTTTATCTGGACATATTATGGAGCGAAATATTTGAGGCGTAATGAGCACACACCAGCGTCACGTATTACATCAGTTGGGGATTTGGAAAAACTGCAACCACGATGACCAATATCTGAATCAACCAGTGCAGCAACTACTGAGGCATCTGCCTCGCCAAGCTAAGTGCAAGAAAGCTAAGACTAGATAGTGGTAGATACCCATGTGCTATCTGTGATAAGTCAATTAGGAGTAACGGGAGGAAACTGATATGTAGTCTGTGTAATCTTTGTTATCACTTTAATTGCACATCCCTTACTCTAGTTGATTACAAGTACTTTAAGTCGGTCCAGTAGCCTTGGGTGGACCTGCCAGATATGCAGCCAGTCAACTTTTCCAATTGAAGATAATGAACTTGTTAAGCTGTCCTATAATTCCAATTTAAGCTGCTTGTGCTCAAAGAATAGTGTAAATGCTATTCTGGAAGATTTACCAGTGTTACAGACTATATCTAATTATGGTAATATTCCACAGTTATCTAATTCTGACCCTGAATCCAACACACCGTCCAAAGTTAATTTTAATTGCTTTGATATACATAAATTTCACTGTTCACCTGAAATTAATAGTTGCTCAAACAAGGAATTTTCACTCCTCAATTGTAATATAAGAAGTATCCAGGCAAACTTTGATAACCTAGAACAGTTCCTTAATGATTTGAATTATCCTTTCAACATTATAAGTCTGTCGGAGACATGGATTAATAGATCTAATGAAAAAATCTCTAATCTTGATCTGCCTAGTTATTCATTCCTCTCTCAACCCACTACACAAAGGGCAGGTGGAGTTGGTATGTATATTAAGAAAGGTAGTCAATTGACCTTACTTCTGGCACCGATGAAAGTGAAATGTTATGGGTTGAAATCGAGAGTGACTTAAACAGCAATATGATATGTGGTGTAGTATACCGACATCCTTCTTCCAATCTTGAAACATTTCTAAATAAGTTTTACCCGGTTATTGGCAAAATCAAACAAGAGAGGAAACTCTGCTTAATATCTGGTGACTTTAATATTTATCGTTTGAACTTCGATAAACATCCCTTAACTGAGGATTTTATTAATATTCTGGGTTCTTTTTTTTCTAGAGCCCCACATACTGAAACCTACAAGAATTACCAATCATTCCTCTACACTGATTGATAATATATTCTTTAATTCTATCGAATATCAAACAGTCAGTGGGAATTTATTACATGATCTAACAGACCATTTGCCTAATTTTCTCATCATCGAGAGTTTTGCTTTTTCAATACATAAAGAGAAAAGCTTTAGACGAGATTATTCTAGTTATAATGAAGAAGCTTTATTAAGTGAATTTAGATCCATTGATTGACTTGTCTAATTTATTTCATGGACTATCAGATACTACTGAAATGTTTGATAAGTTTTATACGAAAGTAAACAATATCAGTAATAGTCATTTACCCTTAAAGTCACTCACCCGAAAGGAATCCAAATTCCAAGCAAAGCCCTGGATTATATTACTCCGGGATTAAAGGTATCTATTATGAATAAAAATAGGTTGTACACGCACTATCTGAAAACACGTACATGTTACAGCCATACCAAACTTAAGTGTTATCGAAACAAATTAAATCATCTACTCAAACTAAGTAAAACCAATTATTATAAAGAATATTTCATGATCAACAAGGCAAAAACAAAAGAAATTTGGAAAGTTATGAAGCAACTTATATGTCTGAAGTCCAAAGGTTCCACCTCGCCTAGTAAATTAATTATTAACGAACATGAGATTACTAATGATAAAGCCATTGCTGATCAACTGAATAAGTTTTTCTCTAATATTGGAAAAAACTTGGCATCAACTGTACCAAAACCTAATCTACCATTTAATTGTTATTTAGATAAACCCCAGGCCTCTAGTTTTTTCTTATCACCTACCACCTCAACAGAGATTGAAAATATAATTATGTCCCTAAGTTCAACCAAGGCTTCTGGCCCATTTAGTATTTCAACCTCCCTTCTTAAGACTTTAAAAGGCATTTTATCAATCCCTCTTCCGCTGCTTTTCAATTGTTCATTTTCTACTGGTTTGGTGCCTGATCAATTTAAAGTAGCCAGAGTAGTTCCAATTCACAAAAAAGGGTCCAGTTATTTAGTCTCCAATTATAGACCTATTTCATTGCTCTCCATATTTCATAAATTAATTGAAAAATTAATGTATAATAGGACTATTAGCTATCTCGAGAAAGTTTCTATTCTACACAATAATCAGTTTGGCTTTAGATCAAAACATTCAACCACGCTCTTTTCCTCTTGACCGATAAGATACAAAGATCAATTGATAATGGCAGCTGCTCTTGTGGAATCTTCTTAGATCTATGTAAAGTATTTGATACAGTTGACCATAAAATTTTATTTGCCAAGTTGGAGTATTATGGCATACGAGTTGTTCCAAATGATTGGTTTGTTTCTTATTTACGTAAGAGAAGACAGTTTGTTTCTTTGTTTGATACTAATTCTGATTACCAACCTGTTACATGTGGAGTACCTCAGGAGTCAGTGCTTGGCCCACTTCGTTTTCTTTTATATATAAATGATATGCCTAGATGCTTCAATATCTTAGAAATTTACCTTTTTGCTGATGATGCAAACTTGTTTCTTAATAATCCTAGCATTCTAAATTTAAAAACCAACTTAAGTGTAGAACTAGGAAAGGTAAGCCAGTGGTTATATGCTAACAAATTATCTCTGAACATTGAAAAAAACCAGCTTTGTGGTATTTCATTCTCCGCAAAGAAGAATAGCCCATAAGTTGAATCTTAGTATCTCCAATATGTCTGTGAAATCTGATAATCAAGTTAAATATTTAGGACTCATTTTTGATTCCAGTTTGAACTGGAAACCATACTTACACGAATTGAGCAAGAAGGTTTCTAGAGGTATTGGAGTACTATCTAAAATTAGATATTATGTAAATAGAAACATATTACATCAATTATATTATTTAATTATCTACCCCTTCCTCACCTATGGTTTATCAATTTGGGGCAATACTTATAGTGCTACTCTTAAACCCTTAATAACTTTTCAAAAGAGAGCTATACGTACTATAACTTTTTCAAAACCAGATGAACACTCTGAGCCTCTTTTTAAGGAATTAGAGATCTTTAAATTGACTGATCTTGTTACCCTTCACAATGCACTCCTCATGTATCACTATTACTATAATAATACTTCCTTTAAAAATTTCTTTCAAACAGTAGCATCTGTACACTCATACAATACTAGGCTTGCTTCTAAATCAACCTATTACATCAATATCATCAAAATAAACTATGGTAAATTCAACAGTTTGGAATCACCTTGACGAAAGCATTAAACACCTCCCCCTTAAAACGTTTAAAAACAAAGTCAAGCTAAACATCTTAAGTCTTACTGTTCATGAATTTTCAACTGGTATTATTTATTTATATATATTTATTTATTTATGTTTTATTTATCTATTTATTTATTTTTTCCTTTCTTCTCTTTTTATTGACTAATTAATTGCTTTCATCAAGCTTTAGTGCCAACCTACCTCCTGTACTTAAACATTACTTAGTTTAACTCAGCTCGATTAGCTTTTTAGTTATCCTGAGTAAACATTATCTCTTTCTTGTATTAATATATTATATTGTAAAGTTTAACGTTTTTTTTTTATTTGGTAATAAAGCTTGTTGTT